GAATGATTTGCTCTGGCTGCTCTGTCTAAGAAAGAAAGAGACTGATTTGTGTTCTGACTGGATGAGGTAGGTGGGGATACCATACTCTTGAGCAAGCCAACCCTGGTTAAAAAGGGATTATGTCTCAATCAGCCTTCCCAAACCTTGTGGTTCATGGAGCTACAACTCTAAGTTCCAGCCAACATGGAAAAAAAGAGTCCAGTGTACAGTATCTGCACAATTACACTTTGGAGAGGGCACCCTAAAAAGTATGGTGTGCCTTCTTTCTCTCACACTACGAATTCTCCAATCCTTACACAGACGTCCTCTTGGGCAGTTTTCAAATTAGCCACTGTATCTGTATGTTTAATGCAGGTGTTCACTGCACAGGCTAGTTCGGCTGGCATATTCTTTTTCTCTTTGTGTAGGACAATTACATCTAGGCTGCAAAAGTTGGGACCACCACTAGAAGGCAGTACAGAGATACAGAAAAGTCTGGTTCTTTGCTGCCACCTTGTGGTCATCTAAATGTGCATAGCCCAAATCTGGTACAGTAGTCCAAGACAGGATCAAAATCTAACAAAATGCCAGATGTGTTGGCCTCTCTTTGACTGTGAGGGGAAGCTGGCAGATACTTACAGACAAGTAGCTTTCCAAGAACAGTGGACCCCTATTTTTATTTCAGAGAATGTACTTCAGAGTTTAAAATGAAACAGAATTGCCATCCATTTCTCTGTTCCTGCTCATCTGCTTATTCTTAAGAATAGCTGAATACAGAGAGATTAAGCAGCTGGAGATTTTCCTGGCATGAAGATAAGACCACATGGAAAAGTCTGCCTGTTTAATTTAAGTGTCACAGGAGGCTGTTAAAACTACATTAGAAAAGGTAGCCCTTCTGTTGCCAAGAGAGACAGAGGGACAATAGGGGAAAGGGGAGGCTTGACAAAACCCACAGCAAAAACTCCATCAGCCTTTCCCAACCTGCTGCCTTCCAGATGAATTCCACTTTGACTTCCATAATCCCTTGACAGTTGGTGGGTTTTTTTAAAATAACAATGATTACAAACTGACAAACTACTGTTTGTTTTGCTTCTGACACAGGCAATTAGTCAAATTGGCTGCAATCTAATGCTAAAATCAAATGATCTTAAAAAGACACTTAATTCTGTGTTGGACAGCACAGAGTTCCTCCTCCTAGCTATAACTGGAGGAGCAACAGCAGAGCCAGGGTGGGGCTCTGGGTTAGGACTTTCCTGGATCCTTGGGTTGAATGGAGAAACCTTATTCAATGCAGTGAAATCTACTTCCAATGAAACTTGTACAGCCTTCAAAAATGGGTGATGCTAAAACCTTTCAGAAGCCACCAACTTTCCTAATCTCTCCTTTCAGTTTGCAGTCTGAAGACAGGAAGCTAAGACAGGCAATCGTCAAACTTCTCCACCCTATTTGATTAGATTGGATTTTAAATATTTTACCACCAGTTAGAAGTCCTGATCGAGTCCTGTTATCTATGTTAAACAGCAAGAACTTGGCACCTAGAAAAATATATTCTCCCATCATCAAATCATATCAATATTTGCCAACAGGCATTTGCAAAAGGTACTGTTACAGAAGCTAATTATAATGTTGACAACCTTAACATGGCACAAGAAACCTACATATGATCATGTTACATGCACTCTGCTTTCCTAAGCTGTTGAGCGACTTGTCAATATATCCTATAGAATATTGGTCATTTTTCAAATAATGTTACTCTTTAAAAACATTTTTTTCAGACGGCTGATTAAAAAAAAAAAAAACCTTGCTCAGAGATAGAACAAAGGCATCAGACCAGGGAGAATGGCACTGTAGCTGGCAGAGGAAAGGCAGGGTGGAGTGGGGTGGGGGGTAGGAAGAGATGTCAGAGATGAGACTCCGGAGAGGAGGAGCTGCCAATCTCTCCTTCACAGGGTGGCTTCTGAGCACCAGGAACTTGGACCGTTGAGCAGCAAATATTCTTCAAGGCTTTCAGTCAAACTTAGCCTAGTGAGGTTTCTAGGAAAGAGAAGGTAGAATTGACAGCCAGTCCCAGAGAAGCTCCACTTTTGTGGAAATGCTTTAGGTAGAGTTCTCCCTCTTCCCAACTCATCAAACAGAGGGGAAATCTTTAAGCAATCAAACTCTGACAGGTCAGTCAGCTGCCTGTTTCTTGTTCTACTTGTATTGAATCAATTTTCCCTCTTCTGACATTTCTCATGGTACACACAAGCACAACTCCCATCAGCCCCAGCCAGCAAGTGAGATTCTGGAAGATGTAATTCATCAGTATCCTAAAGGACACACAATGTGGATCTATTTTAAATTGTATTAGATAAATATATTATATTATCCATTCCTTACATTTAGAATTTCCGAACACAAGGCTATTATTCTATCTATTTTCTTCTATTGTTTCTCCTGCAAAGAAATATGGTTATACGTTTTAAAAAAAATCTCTAAATTATTTCCTTTATATTTAATTTCCTCTTTCTCTTCCAAGGAACAAACTGAATATTACCAATATCTTATGCTATTTAATTCCTTGGAAAAGGAACAGGGAGCAGCTGAGAGTTCAGATTTTCCCTAACAATGGTGAGATGCAGCAAAACTTTCACAAATGCACATGTTAGTTTAACCTTTTGACATTTTGTTGCAACAGATTAATTCTGTTACTCTCTGGAATTTGTAAAGCCAACTAGGTTGAGTAGCAACCATGAGTCCAAGATCATTCAGGGAGTATCAACTTGATCCTGAGTTTCCCTCCCTGATCACAGCTTGAAGTAACACTTGCTTTCTTCTTATTTTTCCCCCAGTTTGCTCTCAACCTTTGAACCTAGGTGGCCACATCTAGCTGATCTTGACTGATCTCAGAAAGTAAAGCAAAGCTAGAAGTGGATATTATTGGGATGGGAGGCCACCAGGTAATTCCAAGACTATGGGCTATGTTAGGCTAGGCTGCAGAGTAAAAAAAAAAAAAAAAGTCATAGGAAGGCAATGATAAATCATTTCCATTTTGTTGCCAGTAAAATGAAGTCATCAGGAACTAAGCTCATCTCAAGGACATTTTAGCTTGTTACCTTGTACTGGTCCTTGTGCACTTGAAACAGGAAGTCTAAATATGAAATTAGATAAGCAGAGGAGATTGTCAGGGCAAAGGGCCAATCAACAGAGTGAGGCTATGAGGAGCTGTAGAGGCTGTACTTTGGCAAGCACCAATAGACAACTCTGTCAGCTGAACTTGGCAAGGCAGCCACCAAGATGCATTAAAAACCCACGATACGATGAGGAAGAGTCCAGTTCGAACAGAAGATACACATGCACACAGAAACAAAGCCTATCTTAATCAGTTCATGAGAGTTGGGTGAGCCATACTGAAGGGCTTCATTTAGGGAGGCTTTTATGGATGAAATGATAGAACTGTAGCAAATTTTTTTAAAAAATCAGAAATTCTGAAGGGCTCTTATAGACCAAGTCCCTAAGCTGTAGCTTGTTTAGTTAATGACTAAATCCAGCTCTGCCAGTAGCTAAGGTTAAAAAAAAAAAAAGTAGTTAACACTCTCTCTGGGTGGGATTCCTCTCCCACACCCCAGCAGTGCTCATAGGAAGATTCAGAAGTGCCTTATAAGGTCTGTTTTCCCAGGATATTACATCATGGCTTGCTGTACAGACCACTCTTTGACTAAGCTACTGTTTCCAGAAAGGCAAAGGTCCAAGTCATGGTTTACAACCATACTGGCTTGGTTCAAACAGCATGCCAAGCCACAAACAAGCCACACTGTGCAAATATAAAGCCAGACCAATTTCACCACTACTGACTAGCAGTAACTTCCAGGTTGGGTTTTCTTTCAGCCCTACCTGGCAGGGCCAGATATTAAAACTGGAAATTTGGGAAGTGCCACCAATGACAGCTGCTCCCACCTATCTTTCACATACAGGAGGATCCTTAAAGTTAAACTCAGCAAGTTAACACTTGCTGGTGGTCAGTGGTGCAGTTCAGTTTGCACATGCGCACACACACTCCAAAAGGCTTCCGCGCAGCAGTATAATTTTATGTTAAGAAAACTTCTGCCCTACTACCTCCCCAAAGCTTGGTAGAAATCAAAATGTTTGACAGGACTGCAGTTTTGCTTTAGGACACATCCCAATTATATTCAAACTTTACTGAAAGCAAAAGGAAAGATTCTGGAATGAAAGCGAGGAGAAAGTCTGCATACATGACACCAGGGCCATAAGGTGACAAGGCTGGAAGTATCCCGGCCAATGTTTATCCCTTCAACCGGGACAGCACCTTCAGTTTCACTTGAATTTCTGCCTGCCACTCCCTGTTAAATGCACAGGTGTCCTGCGGGGGGGGGGGGGGAAGGTTGCAACATCGATTGCACGTGCTCAGACGCCCTCCCTTTTGTGGGACTAAAAGCGGACACTGAGTATCACAGGCTCGGATTCCACCTCTGTTCGCCATTCCCTTCGCACGCGCGGTTAACCTGCGCCTGCTACGGAGCGCGTCGGTGGTGGGGCTGTCTCCCCAGGGAAGCAGATGCACCTACAAAATCTGGGACTCCGCAGCTAGCAGCTCTCCACAGCTGTACTCCGAAAGCGAGCCCCGCTGCATTCCAGAGGAGGGAGGCCAGAAACCGCAGCTTTCAAACGGAGTCGCGCTGCTATTCGCGATCCCTCCAGCAACTCCGCGCCTGCCACCTCTTTCCGGCCTCGGCTGCTTTTTCAGAAAGTACCAGCCCGCCTTCCCGTCTCCGGCTGCCC